AAGGGGTCCTAAGTCCAGCCATTATGATGGCTACCCAGAACAAAGGCCTTGACCCAAGACGGATGAACGGAGGTTTTATCCATTCATGAAGAAAAGAGTGGCTTGAGGATGAGTGAGAACGGCAGGAAGTAGGTGTGTACTGTGAGCTGGGCTAGGTAGGAGGCCTGAAATCACCTCTGCAATGCAGAGAGAAAGATATGTAGAAAGAGTAATCTGCATAACACAATTGTGATAGAATCTAATGTTTTGGGGTTGGTACTTTAGCTCTGATGTGTAATCTTTCAGCCCCAGGAAGTCATAGCTGCTATCTCAAGGCTTGATCCCAGTGGACAGTGGGGAGCACTGGCTCTACATCCTGCCTCCTCCTGGCTCACACGTGAGAACAACGGGGATCCAGGGAAACACCTGCTGTCTTCAAAGACTACCATTAGCACCTCACTATCAGCACCTCAGCTAGACCGATATGCATTGCTTAAAACCAATTGAAGGGATAAGGAAAAGGCCTAGCCAGCTCTGTACATATCCGTACATGGAAATAGGGTCAGGCTCAGCCAAAACGGAGGCAATTGCTCCTCTTTCAAGGGTCAGGCTCAGCCAAAACGGAGGCAATTGCTCCTCTTTCAAGGAGAGTCACCCAGGTGGTCCTCCATAGAGATGACACTGTGTAAAACAAAACACTCAGCACAAGTGTTAGGCACTGCCTGGTCTTCTTTCATGTTTAGCATTCCATCTTAGGCTGAGAAGTGATGTTCATTTTTTGTAACAGTGAGGAAAACAGAGGCCCAGAGAGATAGGGAATCATATTGTACCTCCATGGTTGATGCTGCCCTGGAACTCAGCGCCCTAGGGTAAAGAAATTAAGTCTGAGTCTGAGGGCAGCAGAGAGACCCCAGGAGACCTGTGGATAAGGAAGCGGGCATTTCCCTAGACTTGGTGGCCTCCTAGGTTTCTGAGTGTCTACTCAGGGGAGCATCACCACCTGCTGGTGATGGACTGTGGGGTGGAACACAGCTGCCCACTCCCCAGCTATTCTGCTTGTAATTCCAGAAAACACACAGTGTGCTGAGTGGTGAGGGATAGGGCAGAGCTCCAGTGGTGTGTGACAGCCTCTGTCCCTTCTACATGGGCCCCAGGAGGGACAGGGAACCACAGAGTCATGCATTATGGGTGGAGAATTAACTGGCATGGTCTTTTGGGAGAGCAGTTTGGTAGGACCATCAAGACTTTAAACATACCCTTGGCCCATCTGTGCCACTTCTGAGACCCCAGCCTGCGGAAACACAGGCACAAACTGTAGGGATGTGTAAGCAGCCCATAAAGAGTGCAGTGTTAAACATTATAATCGTACATGCAAAGGAGAGGTATGGAGTGCTTTTAAAAATGCTAACACATCTTTTACAGTCAAATGCAATTTAAGAGCACCATACAGAGTATTTTTGCTTTTTTGGAGAAAAATTAAAGCAAGCTGAGATAAAGGGTGGGAAGAAGAAAGGGAGCGAACAAAGAGCTGCTCCAGTTTAGAAGGTGAGATCAGAACTCCTGCAGGAGACCAGGAGGGGCTTAATGTGGGTCAAGCCTTTCGAATACCAGGCCCTATATTGCTCAGTCCTCCTCCAAACCCAGTGAGGCAGGACCACGGTCACCCACTCAGTGGTGAGGAAAGCCCTTGGTCTCCAGTGTGTGCCCTGTGTCCACATGTGCTAAGCTACTGGTGACAAGTCCCAAAGGACAGAAATCCTGGCATCGCGAGGGATAACAAGGCAGGGTGGTAGCCAGGCTAAGCTGCAGGAAAGTGCACGGAGGAGGGTCCTGTAAGCAGGACTTAGGGGAGCAAGCAAGGAGCATGTTCAGAGGGAGCTGAGAGGAGCAGGTTTTAGCCAGTTCCAGGAACCTAGGCCCCTCGCAGTGCAGTAAGGCATGGAAGAAGCCACTGGGCAGACCAAGGTTTCCCTGCAGGTCCCCCAAGAAGAGGGACACCCTGATTGCTCTTGTCACTCCGTTGGTACCT